TTATGCGTTTTTAATTTTGTTATCTTGTTGTAAATAAGCATAATAATTTTAAAATTATTTTCCCAATTTGGTAATTTTAAAAATATATTCTATTGAACATTTATTGCAAAATTTAGCGTTTACCTGTTATATTTAATTACTCATACACCTATTATATTATTCTTACACAATGTTGGAAAATTACACAGAATGTTTCAGAGTGAAATATATTAACGTTAACTATAGGTGTTAGATACTTAGATGATTCGAAATTATCCATTATATTATTAAAAAGGAAAATCATTCCAACTCAAATGTGATCAAGACGTAAAATAAAATAAATAATACTCATAGCAATATGTCACAGAATACGAGCAACCGTTTCCTTTCAAAAAAACTGCTCCTTCGGCTAATACCGCAACAGGTAATTAATTATATCCAAAAGAAAGACAGCAGAGATAAATTAAATATCAACACTAATTTTGATTTTCATCCTTTTGATTTTCATCCTTAATTAGGACTCTTCAGCAAGAAATAGATAGGTTCTCAATGCTAATCTCTAATGGAATTAACAAATACAACACATTCCCTAGTACATAATAATGTTGGCTACGAAGAGAATAAGAATTCAAGTAGTGAAAATGGTGTCGCCATCTGTTCCTAGGAAGCAAAATCAAAGGTCACTTGTAGAAGTACCCAGTTAGAAAACTAGGTAGAAGCAAAAAGCCAAATGTTTTTTCATTAGTTAATTCCATTAAAGACTGGAATTGAGAACTTATCTATTTCTTGCTGAAGAGTCCTAGTAAGGACGAAACCAGTCCAAGAATGACGTTCTCTAGGAAGCAAAATCAAAAGTAGAGTGTTGAAATTTAATTTCTATCTCTGCTGTCTTTCCTTTGGATATGATTCAATACCTGTTGCGGTATTAGCCAAAATAGTAGATGTTTTCCGAAGGAAACAGTGGCGCGTATTCTGTAACATGGCTTTGAGTTTAATTTATTTTATTTTCATATTATTAAAGGGTCCAGCATAACCCCATTACTTAGATACAGAGTGTTTTATGGATTTCGTATACATTTTTTTGGTTAAAACTCTACAACCGCCAACTATAAAAAATTTAAATTTTGTTGATAGATTTTCCTCGATATAGCAAAAATAATGTCATAGAAACTAATTTACTTAAAGTTAGTACTAGAATGTCACGATGCTTTGGCCGAATTATCCATCAACAATGTGGTCACCTTAAGAAGGATCAAAGGTCATTGCCAAGTACAGAAGCATCTCCATATCATGGGGTTGTCAGAATCTGCACTCTGCAGGGGGTGCGAACAAGAAGATGAGACCATCGAGCCTATCCTCTCCGATTACTCGATGCTCTCATTTATTAGAAGATTTGTGTACGGCGGATGTACGATGGGCCTAGTGAGGCCTAAATGCCTTGTGGTAACCCACCCTCCACACGTTACAGCTACAAAATGCCATAGAAACCATAATTTAAATCCACGTCTGCATATCTGATACGATATTTCAAAAGAAGGATTTCTCCAAATTTGCGAATTTCGTTTTGTTAGAATTTAGTTTTATTAATTTGCCAACTTTATAATTTAATTTCTGTATGGTGAAATACGCAAAATATAAATATCCTTTTTATTAATTATCAATTTTGATGTAATGTTAAAAATATTTTACCAGACAGTAGCTCCAAACCATTCATTTTTTAAATACATTTTGAACTATCCTGTATAATAAAAATTGGGGCAATTTATGATCAAAATGGTTATTTCGAATTAATAAAAATTAATTTAACTGTAAAATGATTTTATTTTACTTAAATAAGTCGAAAAAACCAGTAGATAGAAGCTAATTACTAAAACAACCTAATCCTCGATCATATCAGATAAATAATGGCCGGGGGGCTGGGTACTGTGAAAGTTATTCAACACATCGATCACAATTTCCAGTATTGAGGCCCCAGCTACGATTTGAGTCGGTGAACGAATTTCTTCAGCTCGTAGAACGCTTGGACCGTAAAATGAACGGAAGAATGCATGAGCTAAACGCATATGAAGGAGTAGGGCATCCAAATGTTGGCACAATAAACCATCTGCACTTCAGTGCTGCCATGCGAACCCCAGGAGGAAGAAAAGCAGCCTGGACCCCAAGCCTGATTGAGGTGAGCTGTGGACCCAATCCTGATTGGGGGGTTCTGCCGGAACCTCTTAGGTGGAGCATAAGGATGCCTCCCTTTTAGTGATGCTACCGCGCAGTTTTTTTTATTGTGTTTTACTATATACGACATTTCGAATTACCTTAATTTCTCCCCATTCAAATTGGACTATTAATATATCGAAGATATACGTTAACGTTCTTTTGGAAAAATTACTGCACCTATTTTTTTATTATGTATTACATCTACCTTTTACGTTAAATTTCGTTTGTATCATTCGAATCTCATCAATAATAACGAAGATATGCCCTTTTTACGATGCTACTGCGCATATTTTTTGTTAAATACATTTCGAACCTTTTCCACATTCGAATCGGACCAACAATAACGAAAATACACTCGTCCCTCAAATATTCACTCGTTACATAAAATAAAGCATTTCGTAACTGGTTACATAAATAGCTATTTTGATAACTTTCTAGAGTAACTGCATGAGTATTATGTTTATATTAGGTTTTAACCGATAAATTAGGTTTGTACATGTTCTTTAAAACAACCGTTCTAACATTACGCGGAATTAGTTGCTAAGTGTCACAAATTTAGAATTATTTAGAACAGTTTTAAATTAAGAAATTAACACGAATACCTTAATAATCAACACCAACTGTCAATTGACATGTTTGATTGGCCAAAGTTATTTATGAGGTAGAATTATTATTTTTTATAGATAAATTAATAACAAATAAATTAAAATTATTGTTTCTTGTAAAAATATATGAAATTTTCCGGTTTAAAACTGTAATTCCAATAAAATTAGAATTTTCTTAGTTTCGTTTTTTGAAAGAAAACGGTCATCGTTAATATGGTCAAAAGCACCTCTTTTTCATTTGAAGAAGATCAACCTGAACTTTTCCTGTGTTGAACGGTTTTTTGTCAGTTACATAAAATTATTGAAACCAGTTCAGAATCGTTCTGAAAAAAACAGGATTCTTTTTACAGAACTTAGTTCCAATAAACACGCTTTTAGTCTGCTACACATAACAAAAATAAAAACACGGATAAACCTATTTAAATCTTCCTTTTGTAACTAATTTTAGTTATTTTGATATAATCTTTTTTATTCTTTAATTTCCTTATTTTTCATTATTAGAGGTATTTAAAAAAATAATGACTAGGCTTGCTGACCTGTAAAACATTTCTAACCTTATGTCAAAGTACTGGAATAATACAAAATTGACATTTGTACCTAGAAAAAAAATTACCAGAAATATTTACCGTATTTTGCTTAAAAGAAATTATTTTTGAATTCAGAAGTTTTTCACATTGTTAAAAAATTAATTTTTAAGAAAAAATTAGGAACTCTTAAACGAAATGTGCCAATTTGAAAAGGCCTTAGTCCCAATCACATTTTTCCGCTCTTTTCAAATATCTAATCAGGTACACAACATTTTGTTATAAAGGATGTTATTTTTGAGGCAGAAAGAAATCTCCAAATATTGTGAAGCCAGTTCTGGATTTTTTATGGTTTCTGTAGTATTATGTTTACTTTATCGAGGATAATCTATATGCCAAATTTTAAACAAATTCTATATCGAATGGTTGTTGAGTTTTGACCCAATAAAAATTCAGGCGAAATCCATAAACCACTCTGTGAATAGATTTCAAAGATAATTGTTGTAATTAATACCACAAGATGGTTTTCATGAATCTCATTTTAGAGATAATTTTGTAAAGTAAACTACCACATGTTCTTAGTCAATCTCTTTTATTTTTCGTTTGCATGTACATTTATATTATCACAGAATAAACACTATACAATAACAATTAATATTATTTAATTATTTAAATGTACATTAGAATAGTATATTATTAAACGAGCAATTTATGGTAGCCAGTATTCACGCAGGGTGACGTTTGCGTCCCGAGCCGTAGGCGAGGGGCGCAAGTCACCCGAGTGAATAATGGCCATAAATTGCGAGTCTAATACTATACTTTGTCCACGACCATTATGGTTTCTTTATTAAATAAAAGTTAAGTGTAGAATGGAAAGTTTTTATTAAACATAGGATTTTAGATTTTTAGATTTTTAGATTTTTAGATTTTTAGATTTTTAGATTTTTAGATTTTTAGATTTTTAGATTTTTCAATTTTTCAATTTTTCAATTTTTCAATTTTTCAATTTTTCAATTTTTCAATTTTTCTAATTTCTAATTTTTCGATCTAGAAAATATCGTTATGAAAAGTATCGCCCATCTATCAGTTTAAACATACGTGCTGTCGTGACGTCATACCGTGAATAATGGATAATTATTCACTAGTGCATAATAGGTGTTATTATTCTTAAGGAAGTACAAGTATAATGAATGTTTTATAGAACAGTCGTGGACAAAAATATTTTTATTCCAATTTCAGTCTCTCTAGTTCAATGTTTTGAAAATAATTTTGAAATAAGTCAGCATTTTTATTATTATAATTTACACATCGAACTAGATACGAAATTGGAACGTGTTTATTATTAATTGCATATGAAATTAAACATTTTAATTCAATAAATAATTAATTTAATATACAGGATGTTAATTTAATTGGTGAATATAAAGAAAAATGTTCAAATCTGAACACTCTGTATCTAAGTAATTAGATACGATATACAAATTAATAATGGGTAAATTTGAATCGTCCAGATGTTCGACACCTATTGACATTTGACTCTTCACTTCACTATTAATACACTTACACTACTTCACGTGTTTTTGAATCTTTTTAAATGTCTAGCACTTTAATGCTATCAGATGACTAAATACAATTAATTTGTATATACTTAAATGTCTTATTTTTCTTAACATTTTTTTAGGAAATCGGACGACCAAGGACAAGCAAACGCCTATTTAGAATACGGCGATGAAATGTCATCCGCAGATCAACCGACATTCTTCAGAATGGTCCTAGCTACTTGGTATCTGATCATGAGCCGATCAGAAATCGTCTGCTACTTCGTCATCTTCCTCAACCAAATGAGAAACGCCAATCTCATTTCTCTGCCGCTACCGCTCATGGTGTTCTTTTGGGGTTCCTTGACTATACCGCGACCGTCCAAAACGTTCTGGGTGACCATAATCGCTTACACGGAGGTCGTGGTGCTTTTGAAATGTCTCTTTCAGTTCGACATTATGCCTGGAAACACAACTAGAGATAATACCGAGTTTATAAGTTCAATTTCTGAACAGAATCCGTTTTATCCGCCTGTTTTGATCGGGTTGCACAAGCAGAAAAACGTGCAGGCCATGTGGGATCTTTTGTTGTTGTTAGTCGTTTTCTTCCACAGGTAAAGAGAAAATGTTTGTTTTCTACTAGGTTCAATAAATTTATAAATTTGCTTTTAGAGTTCTATTGAAATCAATGGGCATTTGGAGCTCCACATCTCCAGTAACAGCGGTTCTTCTGGAAGACGGCCAGTACAAAGTTGTAGGAGAAAAATTCGTTGCGGTAGAACCGCTTGAGTTGGACGACAACGAGCAGCCTTCTAGCTCTTCCAGAAGACGAAGATCGAGCCTGGATAGAAGTTTAACTAACACCATCGGCGATGACATAATCGTGATCAAAACTAGAAGATTGAGTAAACTCAACAACGCCATCATTGCAGTTCGCATGGGGTAAGATAACATTGTTAGTGAAATGCTTAATACCATTTAAACTATTAATTTTTTTCAGTGTGTCAAAGTACGCTGAACATCTGCGGTTATTTATCCAGCAACTCTTAGATCCGACTTCTAGAGTGACAGCTGACGTTTATTCATTCATGTTTTTGTGCGATTTTATTAACTTTTTCGTCATTCTCTTCGGGTATTCCGCCTTTGGGGTAAGTATTATTACTTAAGCTTTTAATGGACAAGATTCGACTATTTTTAAATTGTTGATACATATTTATACCATTAACATTCTTTGTAATACACATTTGTACCACCAACATTCTGTGTGGTACATATTTATACCACCAACATTCTTTGTGGTACATATTTGTACCATCGAAATTATGTTTACAAATTATACTTATTTTTTATGGAAATATGTTTATTACAGCTAACTTACCTCTTTGTTTACTTTTGATCACTTTATTATTAAAAATGCAGCACTTTTTGTTGATAAGTACGTTACTCAAAAATCAAAATATCTGTGCTCTTTCTGGTACAATTAAGTACCACATTTTTGACAATTGAACTATTGATTGAAGGCACTGAGTGAAATAATGGTAAATATTTGTACCTCGGAGCGTAACTTTTTTACGAAATGAGTATTAGGGTCGATATTTCAGTGAAATACAACATGCAATGGTACATATATGTACCAGCACCCGGTAAAGTGTTAAAACTATTGACAATCTATTAAAAAATTAATCGAAAATAACAACGTCTCTTTCAGACTCAAACGGATGGTGGCGTATCATCTTATTTGGAGGACAACCGGGTGCCTGCTCTGTTTCTTTTTATGTTGATACTTCAATTTATGATCATAATAATAGATAGAGGCATTTATTTAAGGAAGAATATAATGGGAAAAATAATTTTCCAATTTATCCAAATAGTCCTGCTTCACGTTTGGCTGTTCCTGCTGTTCCCGATAATAACTAGAAGGTAAATCGTATTATTATATTAATATAACTAATAGATGAAGTATTGAACAAACAAATTAACGTTTTTGACCTAGACTTAAAGACGATTTAATTTTTTTGTATTGCCAGATTTACTTCATAAAATTACCCGAACATCATCTTTTTTCAGGTCTTGCAACAGCCTGATACCGCCCCAAATCTACTACATTTCGAAATGTAGCTACCTTCTTCTATCGGCCTTCCAAATTAGGTGCGGTTACCCGACCAGAATTTTAGGCAACTTCTTGTGCAAGGCCTACGGCTACGTGAACATGTTCTTGTTCAAAGGATTTATGTTGGTTCCGTTCTTGTTCGAGCTGAGGACGTGCATGGACTGGATGTGGACCGAAACCTCGATGACTATCTTCGATTGGATCAAGATGGAAGATATTTACCAAAATATTTTCTTGTTAAAGGTGAGACGGGATACATTTCGCAAAGAAATAGGAACATAAAGTTTGTTTCAGTGTTCGAGAAGCGTGGAGGACGAATTTCCACAACCCAGGGCAGAAAAGAAGAAACCTCTGGCTAAATATTTAATGGGAGGAGCTTTATTGACTTTAATCATTGGAATAATATGGTTCCCCCTCGTGTTCTTCTCCTTAGGGAACGCAGTGGGTAATCCTAATCCTCCGTTAGACGTTACTTTAGAAATTAGAGTGGGACCGTATGAGGCGCTTTACAAGATGACTGCTCAGTCAAATTCTATCGTTACGTAAGTAATTTTTATACATCACATAAGGATCGTCTCTATGACGCTTCCTTGTTGCACCGCTTCACGAAATTTTGTTGTTTTGTTTAGGTTCACTGAAGAAGAAATGGAAGACCTCAAGTCGCTCTACAACGCTTATCAAGTTTCAGAGAATTTTATGTTTAATTATGAAGCTTCAGACGTTACTGCCATAAAACTGAGTACCGATTCTGCGAATATTTGGAGCATATCTCCTCCGGATCGAAATCGGATGATAGAAGAAATTAGGGATGGTATGTTATATAAAAAATGTATATGGCATTGACATTGACTATCGTTTTTGACATTTGACGTTGATATTTGACGTTGGCATTTGTCGGTGACATTTGACGTTGCTATTGGACGTTGACATTTGAGGAACAAAACGTGATAAATCCATTTCAGAAAAAAAAATTAAGTTATGTACGATTTCTATAGCGTTTGAATGTGATAAATCCATTGCCATGAACTATTGTGTTTTAATATATCCTATAGAATGCATTTAAAAGTGACTAAGTCAAACGAACCGAAGTAAATCCATTAATTCCTCTCAACCACAACAAACTGTTTAAGTATTTTTCATTTTTTGTACTTGTAAATACTTCTTTTTTTTTTGTTAAATTAGTACCTATTCTTAATTTTCTTGGAATTATTAGTTTAATGTTCAAAACGCAGTAAATCTCAAAGTAAATTGTAATGCATTTATCCCATAACCATCAAAAGTGAATTTATCACGTTTTGTCAGATTGGTGAAATTTGACGGTAACATTTAACGTTGATATTTGACGGTGACATTTAACGTTGACATTTGATGGTGACATTCGACAGTGACATTCAACAATGATATTTAACAATGATATTTAGCAATGAGATTTAACAATGATATTTAACAGTAATATTTAACAATGATATTTATGATACATATATAACAATGATATGATATTTAACAATGATATTTCGAACTTGTTAGAAAGTAGCATTGTTTTTTTTTTTTTAGTAAAACCTTTAAAGGTGAGACTGGAATACAAAATAACGCACAAAACCAGCAAGGCCGAAGATTCTGGTATAATTATAAAGGGAGTCGAAATTATAATGCCGCCGAGTACGAATACTTCGAAAAACGTTGACAGAGAAAATCTGTTGAAAATGTTGACGCACGAAGGCGTAGTGGATCCGGTTCATTTTCGATACATTATGCCGAAGTTTATTAAAGTTACGAGCGGTGGAACGGCTGAACCAGTTGATGTATTGATGTTGGAAAAACCAGGTAAGTTTTATTAAAAAAAAGACAGATTTTAGTATATAATTGTACTTCCTAGCCGCTGTAACTAATGTTATTGAATATTTTAGATCCTGAAGCCAAAGTTTACAGAAATATGAGCATAAAACTGCTAACCGCTAACCAGGGTGGTTACAAACAGGAATGGTGGAAAGTCAACGAAGAGTGCGGCGATTACAATTACGAACATTTCCTCGACAAGATCGTTCATCACAACTGCGCGGACTACATCATTTTGTACTGTTTCAACGACAAGGTGTTCCCGCCAACGCTGAGCTTCATCACGGCAGGAGGGTAAGTTTGAGCTGGATTTTTCTTAATTTCATGAAGTTTGAAATTTCTTACTTTTAAATTTTGTTTATTATATCATCTATTGAGAATGACTTTCAATACTATACTATTCTCCAACCTTTTCTAGCATAATAGGTCTTTACACCACTATCGTCTTCGTCGCGTCTCGCTTCCTACGCGCCTTCTTCGCTGACGGCTACTCTAAGATCATGTTCGAGGACCTCCCGAACGTCGATCGCGTCCTCCGCCTCTGTCTCGACATCTACCTCGTTCGGGAGGCGGCCGAATTCGGCCTGGAGGAGGACCTCTTTGCCAAGCTGGTGTTTCTCTACAGATCGCCCGAGACGCTCATCAAGTGGACGCGACCCAAGGAGGAGGTCGCGGACGACGATGATCCAGAAGGCGACGACGCCGTGGCTGCTGATTAAATCGGGTGTGTCATGGAGATTTTTGTGTTGTAAAGTTGGCTGTTGTTTTTTTGGTGGTGTGGAATGGAGTATATTCGAAAGCGTCGTTTCAAACGGCGTTATTGCTATGCTGGGTGCGGTGTTTATGTTGAATTAACGTAACGTAGTTTTGGGTCAGTCGAGGAATACGGAGGTGCAAATTTCGCAAAAAAATGTTAAACGTTCAAAAGTAACTATATAGTTTCTACAGTAAATTTTCGTAGAAAAAATAATACGAAAAAAAAAGTATTTTTCGAGAAAAATCTAATCGAAACTCAATTTTATAAGTTAAATGTACAAAAACATTCACTTTATACAAGGTGGTTTGTATCGTCAGGATTTTGCCAGCCGATAGTTTATCGAAAAATAAAGGTAGTTTGTCCAATGTCGGTCCAATTTTATTTCCTTTTTTTTATTATTTTATTATCTCAAAAAGGCTTTGACCGATTTTAATGAAATTTTCAGTTTGTTGACAACTTTATGTCTTTCGGGCATGTTGCAGTTAATCCAGTAATTCCAGAGGCGTGCTGATATGGCACACTTTGATTCGTTTTATGCACTAAATATACCGCCCTGTAGATTTTCAATTTTTTATATTAATTTTTTTTAATAAACTAAAATACAACTTTTTTGTTTCTTAAATTTTATTCATAGCTTTCTTTGTTTTCGAGGAAAAAATTAAAACTAACAATTTTGCACATCTCTGAACTTGCTGAGACAAATTGGTAGTGACAGATTTAATTAAAGACATTCCCTTGTGAAATTCAAGGAAATATGGGACGAAACAAAAAACTGCAGAGTTGTCAGGAAGTTATCCTGACAACACTGCAGCAAACAAATACTTGACTGTGACCAGACAGAATCTGCGCCTAGTTACAGGCATTCTGACTGGTCATTGCCAAGTACGGAAGCATCTTCATATAATGGGGCTGTCAGAATCCGCACTCTGCAGGGGGGGGGGGGGGGCGAACAAGAAGATGAGACCATCGAGCATATCCTTTACAATTGCTCGACGCTCTCATTTATTAGAAGATTTGTGTTCGGCGAGTATCGGCTAAACACCGGCCGATATAAGAGAAGCACCTCTTGGCGACGTTGTCAACTACATTAAATCTGTAGGCTGGCATATTAAGAGGATGCACAATGGGCCTAGTGAGTATCTTTATTTTTCGATAAACTATCAGCTGGTGAAATTCTGATAAGCTAGGTTTTGAAAATAGCAACGTTGCCACGCTGCTAATGAAATTATAAGTTTTAAGGATTATCTATAATTTATAAAATACGTAATTATAAAAATTGATGTGATCAAAAACCACACATTTTTTGTGTGTTTTAAAAAGCTTAATTACGGTAATAATGATCGTATATAAAATTAAAATAAATTATAATCTCAACCAAACTGCTTAATCTAACCAATTTCACTGACGTAATAATTACAGCTATAACAAAAATGTTTACTTAACCAATTTATATAACCCATGTGCCTGAGGCCTCTGATATAGCCTCAAATATTTCCACATTATACATAGTTATGAGAAAATTGTTAAAATTTTAACTAAAAATCACGTAACGTCAAAGGCGCGCACGTTTTTCGAAATGTTGGCCATTCCAACTTATTTCTTTTTTCATCTATGACTACAAAACAAATGTATTTCAGAAGTTTTCACTGTTAGTTAATTATTGTCATTATCATACTCGTCTTCTTTTTCTAAATAAAAAACAACATTATTCTTCCAAAACTTTGAAAAAACAATAAAATACAGCAATGTGACATTGTTGCAGATGATGTTAAGAGTTAGGTTAAACAAGAAAAATAGTGCATTTTTGTGATATAAATTAAATTAGCAAATTAATCATAATTTTTCGTTTCTAATTATAAAAAGTAAATTGCATCAATATAGTAGTACTAAAACTTCGTAATTACCACCTCCAGGATGAAACCGTAGTTTGTAATTGCTATTGTGTGAAAGTGAAAGCAATAATTTTTTGGAACAATAGAGGGAAACAGCACTAATACAGATTTTCATTAATTTTTGTACAACCCTTCATTATGGTTTCAAATATTAATTTGCAATCAAAAATTAAAAACGTAAAAATCATCATGTCATTTTTCTACGAATTTAGTTAGAAAAAAAAACGAATTTATTAAATGATCTCGTATAGAAATTTTATGTTATAGGTTTCGTACATTTCAACTTAAATGCCTCACACTTATGCATACATTTACTATAAATATCCTTTTCTATTCAAGATGAGAACATAATCTGATAGAATGTTCACAAACTTTAGAAGACCAACAAATAAAGAAAACGAATAATTTTTATTAAGTTTATCGTATGTTTCAACATTGAAACTGTCAATTTTAACCTATCTTACATAATTCTCGAAATCATATATAATCCCAACAAGTTATATTTGCTACGCTTGAATATCCACATTCGATGCATTTTTTTACCTCTGGAGCGTTTTTTTATCCAGATGTAGCTGTCCAGATTACATTTTTTACATCTCAATTTGAAATGAGATGCTGTAGTGGGGATTGTCAAACTTGCCATTTATTTTTGATTGGATTCGTTCCATGCCAGGTATAATAACAGGTTTATCTATTTATGCTTTGTTTATGCTAGGTTAAATATAAAAGTGTATGTTTAATTTTTGTTTAGTTTATAAATTTAACTTTTTTTCAAGGGTAATATAAAGAGACCTTCATAAATAGTCGACTATTTTTAGTGTATCTAAATTTTGATCGTTTTTGATATCAATTTTTCCAGACATAATTTCATCATTAATATTCTAAGTAGAGTCCGAGAGCTTTAGCTCGAGGACTCTTTCTTTAAATGCAAAATAAACGAAAAATGTAGTAACAATAAAAATACGAGCTAATTTATCTATTTCTAGAGCCCTACATACAGTGTGTCTATTTAAGTTGGAACCATATGGAAAACATTTTTATTATTGATTTTAGGAAAAAAAGTTATTCTTGATAAAAAGTTCTGCATGACCCAAAACCTAAAATACAGTCATCACATATCAAATTTTTCAAGCCGTATACGAGGTTTGTCAAAAAATATGAATTTTTCTCAAGAGTAAAGTGCGTTTATTTTTGACAAAATCGAAAATGTTCATTAAGTAGACACACTGTATAAATTAAATTAAATGGACAATAAAATAACTTTTGTTTTCGGTTCATTTTGAAACGTTCCACGCTATTAGCTTGTACTCTGACAATAAATATATTTGACAGTAGCCGATATAAAATATTATACCTATAATCAAATATGCGAGTTGCTGTCAACAAATGAATATCAAGCCCCATACATGGGATAGTCTCGATTTGAAATCGTCAGTAAAAATAGTCGTTTTATTTGGTTCTGATTGATTCTAACGATGACGTAAATTGCAATGTGATTGGTTAAACTGTCAAAGTTGACAGGTGAGGGAATTAATCTATATTATATCACCGACAATCAATACAAATAGAAATTACCTAGTTATTTCATTTCACAAAATAGTTTTAAGGTAAATAAACATAATAAAAATGAAAGGGCATGGAAACGACTTTGTATTTGTATTATACTTAAATTATACAAACATTTCAATTTAAAAATCAGAAGTATAAAACTTCTGACTTGTTCTGTCATTTTTAGCACGTGACCACTACAATTAAAGCGTTTGTTCATTACATCTACATTTTAATCTAATACTCGTATCACGTGATACAAAATTCATAACATCTCAAATGCATCCGATGTGGATATTCAAACGCAGCATTTATGAAACATGATTTTTGCCAAGTGACGGTCATATTAAACCTTGGACATGCCAAGTGACATTTATGTTAAACAGAAGGCCATCTTAATGGTCCCAATTATTTCTCTGAGAAAATGACTATTAAACTATCGACTTTTTAGATTCAATTTGCTACTTTTATTTATTATTAAGTGGTTTTATGTTGATTAGATATTTGACCAGTGGATCATAATTTATACTTTTTTATTTTAAATAGTGCTATATTGCTTTTGAATATACTACCATCGTATAGATTTGTAGGTTTTGTGATTATGTTTGTATCGTATATTCTGGTCTTGTCTGTTTTTTTTAAATCTCCAATGAATTCTGAAGATCTTGGAAAATATCGTTATGACTTCCATGTGTGTCTGTCTCAAATAAAAAGAAAATAATCTACGTGTGCATGTACGTATGTGTCATATACAGTATCGACTATCGAACATTTTACAATATGTATTGCACAAATGTGTATAAAACCTATAGAGAGTTAGCATCAGAACAAGCAGGAAACGAATAACAACGCGGTTGGACCGTATAAACCTGGCAAAGTTGATATTATTCGTTTCCTGCTCGCTCTAATGCTTTCTGTAGTTTTCACATGCACTTGTGCAAAGCGTATTAGAAAACGTTCTGTGGCCGGCACTGTATATATTTTAATTTGGAATCGTTTTTTGTTGAGGTCACATTTATTTTTATTCAATTTTTGCTTTATATTCTGTGATTTTTACAGCTCATACGTTTCCTATGTTGTTGATTTTTATCATTTTA